TCATGCCATCCACTGACCTTCAATGCTCTGAAACATGACCTGTCCCTTAGACAGGAAAGGCTCAACTCCTGACACGTACGTACCAGCTTGGCCTCAGCTCTTCCTGGCACACAGCCCTCACTCCCAACAGCCCAGGGAGCCGGCTTCTACGCATCATACTGTTTTATGGGTCCTCTGTGCCCACTTCTCTGAGCCAATATATTATATTATACCACTTTGTATTAATAATATCTGGCACACAGGTGGTCAAAGAAAATCTACTGATATAGGTGTTGCTGTATATATCCATCTCTATATACACAGATAGACATAGCAACATCTCTGTACTTATATCTATACATATAGATTATACAATAGCAGTGCACAATCTGATTTAAAATATATCTACATTCGATCTCTGTATATCTTCAATCTATATATAGATGTAGTTACATTTTAAATTTAAATCAAACTGTGTCCTGTTTTATTGCAAACCAACATGATTCATCATCATCAGACCCTTCAGAAGACTTGGTTTGTGCCTGAATATTTCTGCATGTTGAAGAAATCCTACTAAATATCAGATGTACATTTTAATTCCGCTATACTGTTACAAGGTCTCTTAACTACACAGGCAGAAAATAAAGGCCTTTTATTTAACATTTATTTGTATATCAAAGGCCCAAAATCTACAAAATTGCAATAATTCTGATAAAAAGTAGAATTAAGCATTCCTATTTCTTAAGGAATAGCAAAGGTATTATCCTTCTTTATATAAAAAAATTATAATGTAAATTTTTAAAATATCGGAGTTTATTTACACATTTTATATATGCTCATAATTATAAAATGCTGATCCCTTGACCCAGGAATTGGCTTCTATCAAATGAATCAGGAAAAAAAGGACAGCTTTTATGGATGTTACTAAAGTTGTTATTTTAAAAAAAAAAAAAACTTTCAATTGTACAAACACTCTGTCACTTTAAAAATATTTTTTAAATATTAAAATAAAACTATGATGCTATTTCAACATCAAAAGACACTTTATAATTTTCATCCAAACTGAACAGATATGTCCTATTTTTCCTACCAATGGTGAAGTTCTGGGGGAAGTGAGAGAGCAGAAAGGTCCATTTCAATAAAAAATGTTATTTCCCTGCCGCCCTGAAAGTTTTGTTATTTTAAATTATCCATATTAAGTCCAATTTTCTACTGACTTTTATCATACATTGAAAAGATATCACAGTGAAAAGATTATAACCACCTGATGTAATAAACAACTTTTGATCTACCTTTGGAATGACTTGGTAGGACTAAGGTTACTTGCTGCTGACAGATACTGGACGGCGCCAGAATTTTCGTTAATTGGGGAGTGGGGGTAGGGGCAGCAAACCCCTTAAGTGGGAAGAAAAGAAATACCACAAACTAAACACTCCCCCCTCGAAAGTGGGAAGAGGTAAGTAAGGTTCATACTGCTGACTTAAGATCATATGGAGATTAAACAGAAAAAGGAAAAAGGCAAAACAAAACATGAGTTTAGAACAGGCTCCTAACTGGGCCATCATTTACAGGCATGTCAGAAGGGCTGCCAACACCCAAGTTGTGGAAGAGCATGGCTTTGGAGCCAGAAAGATCTGCAGCTCTCTTCAGTCTGCCTCTCAGCAGCCTTGATAACCTCTCCTACCTGGACGAGCTCCGTGTCCTCCAAAATGATACTGCTGGCCCCGCCTCTAACCATTCCAATCCATCCTCCACAATACCTTCACAATGACTCCCTATAAACTAAACCTGGACATAGAGCTCTAGGCTTCATGGCGCCCTAACCCACTCCTTTAGCCTTAGGGGCCCCCTCCTCTCACTCACTCTATGATCTGCCTTAATTCCAACTTTGGTCTCATCCAAGGCCTTTGCAACTCAGAGTCTCTGCTGTTCCCTGCCTGGAATGCCCATTTTACCCTTGTTCATCCCACAAACTCCTACTCATTCTTCAAGGCCCAATGAAGGGTCCTCTCCACCAGGAAGTATTCCCTAACTCCCTTAGGCAGTTAGCCATCCCTCCTTTGTGATCCAAAGATATTTTATTTGAATCACTCATTATACCTGATTGAAATGATCGGTTCACCCACCCAGCCCCCACCTCCAATCCTACGACTTCCTCTCTTCCTCTCACTGAAACTGTGAGTACTTCTAAGGCAGGGTTATCTTTGGATATCTCCAGTGCCTAGTATCCACCAAGTGTCCAATAGGTGTTTATCAAACTAAAAAAGTAAATGAATGAATGAGTGAGTGAATGACTACCCTTGATGGCAGTCTGAGCATCTAGGACGAAAGAAGCTTGATGAATGAGATTTGAACAATCAAAGGAAGAAAAAGGAGATGAAAGGATGGATGCAATTTCATGAAGTGATAAAATATGTGTTCTCTCTCTCTCTCTCTCTCTCTCTCTCTCTCTCTCTCTCTCTCTCT